TGTAGAGCACAGCGCTACTGTGACACACATGGGCTTGCTTGCCAGGAGTCAAAATCGACTCACCAACAGACAACTGGTTTAATCTTGTCTCAGCTAAAGTCAATACAACAGATGGTACCAGTATTCAGTGGGTACACTCAGTGACAACTGACAGCGTCCTTGGCATGGAAGTCACAAGAGTAAACAAAAATTTAAGCACAGTGTGAGGGTGTTTGCATGCTGGAATGAAGTCAGGCTTTAAAAAAAAGTGCCGTGGCGTTGATTCTGATTATGAGGACCCCATGTGTTACGGAGTAGAACCAAGCCCCAACAGGGCAGATCACCAAGTCTTTCTTCCATGGGTTAAACTGCCAGCCTTTTGGTTACTTTGTTGTTGTTAAATTCTGTCAAGTCAGTGCCAACTCATAGCCACGCCCCCGTATAGGGTTTCGGAGGAGTGGCTGGTGAGTTTGAAAGGCTTACCTTGTGATTCAAAACAACCTCCAGGTCTAGCATCTAATGCTTATTCTACAGCTCCACACCAGGATTTCATTTGGTTACTGTTACTGTTGTTGTTAAGTGCCGTGGAGTCGGTTCCGACTCATAGAGACCCTGCACAGGGTTTCTCTTTATGGGAGCAGAAAGCCTCACCTTTCTCCCGCGGAACCGCTGGTAGTTTCAAACTGCTGACATTGAGGTTGGCAGCCCAATGCGTAACCACTACGCTACCAGAGCTCCTTACTAGATAAGCACAAACAATTTGTGCTATCCAGGGACACCCAGGTAAAATCCCAACGACCCTGGCTCTTTGCTGTGGTTTTGGGTAGGCTTCTTAATCAAATCTGTGCCTTAGTTTCCTCATCTGTAAAATGGGATGAACAATGCCCACTTTGCCTCCTTTTGTGGGGATTTTGTGATGTTGTTTATATCAAAGGCTTAGTGTGGTGCTTGCCTCAATATTATTGTGATAGGGACAGAGTCAGGGGACTGGGAAAGCCTGGGAGAGGTATTTAGCTCATCTAGGGATTTCTGGAAGGGTTTCCTGGATCAAGTGACAGCTAAGCCTAAAGGAAGAATAGGAGGGAGCTTGCCAGTTGAAGGAATGGAAGGTCAGAGTGGTCCTTGTTGTTGTTGTTAAGTGCCATCGAGTCGGTTCCGACCCATAGCGACCCTGTACAGGGTTTCCGAGGGTGTAAATCTTTACGGAAGTAGAAAGCCTCATCTTTCTCCCGCGGAGCAGCTGGTAGTTTCGAACCGCTGACCTTAAAGTTCGCAGCCCGATTCGTAACCACTACGCTACCAGAGCTCCTTAGAGTGGTCCTTAAGGAGAGAGAAATGGCAGGAAATTTGTCTGTACAACTAGGAGGAATTCTTAGTTATCCAGACTTGCTATAACAGAAATACCACAAGGGAGGACTTTAGCAAACAGAAATTATTCTTTCACAGTTTAGGAGGCTAAAGGTCCAAAATCAGGGACATTTCTAGAGAAAAGCTCTTAACTGGCTCTGGGGGGTTGGCCCTGGTATCCTTTCAACATGGGCCCAGCATTCCTTGGAGATATGTGTTTGGCATTAATCTTCCCCTGGATGTAGGAGGTTTTCAACACAAGGACCCTGGATCCAAATGACAAAGTCCTTCCCGATTCTTCTTTCTTAATGGTACTGAAGTTCTTCTCTTTTGATTCTCTAGCCTTTTAACTCTTGTAAGATAAAAGATAATACACACTAGACCCCAGAGAGATCCTTTTACACCAGATCGGGTTTGTAACCTGAAGTAGGGTGTCATTGATCACATCCCACCCTATTCTTTGGCCATATTGTCAGGAGGGACCAGTCGCTGGAGAAGGATATCATGTTTGGTAAGGTGGAGGGTCAGAGAAAAAAAAGGAAGACCCCCAACAAGATGGATTGGCCAGATGGCAGCATCGATGGACTCAAGCTTGGCAACAGTAGTGAGGTTGGCAGTGTTTCCTTCTGCTGTGCATAAGGTCACTTTGGGTCAGTACTGACTGATGGCATCTAACAACATCCTATTCTTATTTCATTAACATAATAAACATAAACTAATCTTGTCTCATTAACACTTTATTGTTAAGTACTGTGGAGTGGGTTCCGACTTTAGTGACCTTGCACAGGGTTTCCGAGGCTGTAAATCTTTACGGGAGCAGAAAGCCTCATCTTTCTCCCGCGGAACCGCTGGTAGTTTCGAACTGCTGACCTTGAGGTTGGCAGCCCGATTCATAACCACTACGCTACCAGAGCTCCTTCATTAACACTTAGAGGTTAGGATTTATAACACATCACAACTGGAGGGTCATCACAACAGACACCATCATGATACCACTGAAAACCACAGTCTAGCCAAGCTGACAGCTAATTTGGAGGGTTGGGGGCGGGACACAAATTTAATATATAGCAATTTCTTCAGGGAAGGGGTCGGAGATACTTTCAGGGGTCTTGTTCCTGTCTCAATTCACAGGTGGGCTGGCAACTGGAGGAGGACAGGAACAAACTTCTGGTGGCAGTGGATGGCGTGGGTCCCATTTGAGCTTCCAGGACTGAGAGGCAAGGCGGGCTTTTAGGGAACTTGTAGGGATATCCAAAGATAGCTCAGCGGAGGAGGATGACACAAAATCTGGACTTCCCTGCCGCCTCCTCCTCTCAGAGGATGAATCATCCTCTGAACTGCAAAGAAGTCATTGTGGGACCTAGGTTCGAGGCCTAGGGTTACCTCGCCTCTGACTCATCTCAGGAGGGGCAGGGAGGGAGGACTGGGTGTGAATCCGGAGACTGAAGCTTCCGGGCTGTGCTTCCCCTTGGAACTTGGGTTTCTATATCTGTGCAAAGGGGCTGGCGCAGCGGGGCGTGGTTGCGGTAATTTAAGGCCTCTCTGTATGTCCCGTTCTTTTTTCTTTCTGAATCCTAGCAAATTTCCCTGATGTGAGTGTGGCATGGGTATGTGGGCTGGTTGGGGGTCTCGTGTCATAAACTGTTGATGGTGAACCATCCTCTGGGTTCTCCAAAAGGTGGGAAGAGGGGGCAAAAACTCCAAAACTGAATTCATTGCCATCAAGTTGATTTCAACTCCTAACGACCCTATGAATAGAACTGATTCATAGTGTTTCTAAAGCTGTCATCTTTATGGAAGCAGTATGTCACCTCTTTCTCAAGAAATGGCCGGTTTGCTCCAACTGCCGACCTTTAATTAGTAGCCAAGTGCTTAGTAGCCAAGTGCTTACCCACCGTGCCATCAGGGCTGCTTCGAGGGGGAAATACCAGCAGAAAAAGAAAAAATGCAATTACATATTGTTTGTGAAAACTAGCTACAATAATGAAATGACCAAGCATCTGACGTGTATTTGGTTCTTACCAAATGCCACTCTTCTGTGTTGCTCCTTGTTTTAATCTTCATAATAATCCCGGAGACAGCTCTGGTAACTTAGTGGTTACGAATCGGGCTGCGAACCTCAAGGTCAGCAGTTTAAAACTACAAGATGTTCTGCGAGAGAAAGATGAGGCGTTCTGCTCCCATAAAGATTTACAGACTTGGAAACCCTGTACAGGGTCACGGCACACAGCCACCACCACTAATAGTCCCAGGGCCAAGCAGCCCCATTTTACAGGGGCAGTAGAATGTTCAGAGACGAAGTCACTTGCCCAAGGTCACACAGCCAGGATTCGGAACCCTGACCGGTCTGAATTCAAAGTCCTTATTTTTAGCCTCAAAGCTGACCTGGGGTAGGGGTGAGGAAGTTAAAGGCTCCCCAACCTGCAGAGGCGGATAACCTCTGTTTTATTGTCGGGGAAACTGACGTTCAGACGCTGGATGACCTGATTGTTTGAAGTCTTCACGTATTTAGAAAACAACAACAGTAACATCTGACAATTTTTCTATTTATTACAAAGTACAAGAGCAGAGACTGGCAGGCCAGATAATCTCCGCTGTTCTGGAAAAATGTTGTCTTCCTTACTCTCCCGCTAGGGGGCGCCGCCTCCTGCCGCTCCAGCCCAGTCCAGGCCTGGTTACTTGAGATTGGAAGTAAAGCCGTACCTGAGGCTCCCCAGGAGTCCCCAGCCCCAGACACCTCCACTTCTAACGTCGTCTATAGCAGCATGGTGAGAATGTTTCTGATGAGGGTGTCTGTTGTTTGTGTGCGTGTGTGTAGGGGGAGCGCGGCCATTTTCCCATCTGGGGCTGCAGGGTTTGGTTACAGCTTCCCTCCGTCCACCAGTGTCCCAGTGTCCCCTCCAGCAGCCAACAGGGAGCCGACCCATTCCGAGGTGGGGCCCCTTTAGTCCTCAAACTTGAGGCGATTTATCCATGAGAAAGCTGGGTCGGGAATGGCCAGGTCGATGTCCTCCTCTACCTCATCCCCTGGACAAGCAGACTTGTTCTTCTTCCAGGGTCCTGGGGACATAGATAAACAGAGAGATGGAGAGACAGACAAGGCAGAAACCAGAGGGAGATGGGGAACACGCCAATGTGCGGGCAGACAAAAACCAGTGAGGTGGAAGGAGAAGGGTGGATATCCCTAGCCACCAAGACACGAAGGTATAGGTGGCATTTGGACAAAGGCATCGGATGAACAGGGCTCAAAGACAGGCAGAGAGAATCAGAGGCCAAGCAAAGAAAAGGAGATAAAGGAATGAAAACCACTGCCATCAGAGCCGAATTGGACTTATATCGACTCTATATGACATTCCTCATCGTTCTCTTGAGGAGTGACTGGTGGGTTTGAACTGCTGACCTTTTGGTTAGCAGCCCAATGCTTAATCCATAGAGACACCAGGGCTCCTAAGGTCAGTTGTCGAAAGGAGAGAAAAACAAAAAACAAACAGGCATCTCCCTCCTTCCCCACCAGCCCATCTCCGAACTCAGACTCTGGTTTCCTCCAGACCCAGATGGAGAGGAAGAGCAAAGGTGACCTGGTCTCCGGGTCACCCTCACTCCCTTGGCCACACAGACACTGGTCACTGGTACTTCCTCCAGGATATCTTCCTGCCTGAGTCCCAGCCCCCTCACCAGCTACGTGGCCTCCTGGCAGGATTCTGGAAGCTGCTGGGGCCCCAGGGCTGTGCTGAGCAGCTCAGTCAGGTTGTCTAATTTTCCTGCCAGTGCCTCGATGCGCTTCTCCAAGGCTTGGTGTGAGGTGTTCAGCCCCAACTGCAAGTCACACAGGATCATGTGCATCTGGGTGGGCCAAGAGAGTCGAGAGTCAGCAGGCGAGGTGGGCAATGGAGCTAGTACCTGCTAAGAAATCCCTGATGTGGTGCAAAAGGTTAGACGTTCAATAACCTGCTGGAAAAGTTGGTGGTTTGAACCCACCTAGAGGACTCAAGTGTGGCAACAGTAGTGAGGTTGGCCAAGGATTGTTCTGCTGTGCATAAGGTCGCTATGAGTCGGTGCCAACTCGATGGCGCCTAACAACAACAGCACAGGTGCCTTGGAAAACAGGTCTAACGAACTGCTTCCCCGAGGTCTTGGAAACCTTATGGGTCAGTTCTGCTCTGACACACGTGAGATAGGGGCCATCGTGAGATGGAATCAACACAACAGCAACTATCAACAACACAAATGCTGAAGATTACTCTAATGATAACAAGCGCTCTGGGGGTGGTGTAAGAGAAGCACTGGGCTGCTAACTACAATGTGAGCAGGTCACACTCACCAGCCCCTCCTCAGAAACCCTATACAGGATCACTATGAGTCGGAACCGACTCGACTCGACGGCACTTAACACCGATGCTCACAGCTATCACTGACCCGTTCCCATGTCCCAGCTGCTTTTCCAGATGCATTCTCATGTATGGTTTACATACCCCAAAAAACCCCAAGCCATTGCTGTGCAGTCCATAGCAACCCTATATAACAGTGTAGAACTGCCCCATAAGGCTTCCAAGTTTGTAATCTTTACAGGAGCAGACTGCCACACCTTTCTAGCGTGGAACAACTTTTGAATTTGAACCACTGACCTTTCATTTAGCAGCCTAGTGCTTAACCACTGTACCACCAGAACTCCTTACATGGTTTTGAATTCTCCCAAAAGCAATGAGAAGTAGGATTCCTGTTCCCATTCTGCAGGGGAGGAAAACTGAGGCCCAGAGCAATTAAAATGACACACCCGAGAACTAAGCCTAGAGCATAGTTATTAGCTTCAGTGGAGCCGAACTTCAACTCACGAGGACCCCATGGACAGTGGAACAAAATATTGTCATTGTGTGCCATCCCCATGATGGGTTGTGGATGGGATCGCAATGCTCCAGAGAGTTTTCATTGGCTGATTTTGAGAAGTAGATCACCATGCCTTTCTTCCTCGTGTTAGTCTGGAAGCCCCATGGGAACTTGTTCAACATCATAGCAACACCCAACCTCCAATGGCAGATGGGTGGTGGTCATCCACAAGGTACACTGGCCAGGAATCGAATCCAGACCTCCTACATCATGTGGTTAAGTGCCATCGAGTCAGTTCTGACCCACAGAGAACCTGCATAGGGTTTCTAAGAAAAGAGCTGGTAAGCTTGAACTGCCGACCTTGCTGTTCAAACCAACTTTGCAGTCCAGCGCATTAACCCACAGCGCCTCACCAGGACTCCTACATCATAGGTATTCATTAAATACTTGTGAACTTGATGAAGAACTGACCTTGAAATCCACATCACCCTTTTATCACGCTCACAGCTTCATCCTTGGTCATTTGTGAACTTTCTGAGAAAATTTCTTCCTTTCCTCTTCAATGGAAAATTTTGAATACTGGGTTTTTGGCCTGTTCATCTTCACTTGTTATTTATGACCAATCTGGACCACCACCTTCCCTGTCACCAAGGTCTGCTCCACAGTTCTGGGACCTACCCGTGCCTGTGTTTGGCACTGTTTGAATTGTCGCAGACCAATGAGAAAACGCTAAGGCCATTTGATAAGACAGAGGTGCTTTGAGACAAGCCAAGGAGGGGTGACATCATGGTCCTCAGCAGTTGGGAGCATCAAGTGGTCCCAGAAGAAGAAGGAGGTGGCTGAACTGAGTCATATGAGCCAGCCTGCCGAGGCTTCTGTGGCCCTGGCACCTCGAGCAAGATGACACCAGATTCTGAGCTTTACTAAAAAAATGATAGCTGTGTTCATATAAAGGGTGTCAATTTAAATTTTATTGGCTTTGCATTTATGTTTGAACTTGGTTTGTAAATTTGCTTTGGGTTTTATTGTCCTATAAGAATTGTAGCTGGAAGGAGTTTTATAACTTTCCACATGTGAGTGGCAGTGGGTTTGAATTTTAGTTTTGTCCTGGGGTGGCGCTGTAGCACTGAACTGCTAAACACAAGATCGGCGGTTCAAACCTACCAGTTGCTCCTCAGAAACCCTATATAGGGTTGCTATGAGTCAGAGCTGACTTGACGGTGCTTAACAACAACAAGGAACTTAAGGAACTCTGGTGGTGCCGTCATTAAGCACTAAGCTGCTAATCAAAAGGTCAACAATTTGCCACCCAAGACTCCTCTACCCAGCAAAGCTGTCAATCAAATATGATGGTGTAATCAAAACATTCCAGGATAAACAGACGCTAAGGGATTTTGCCAAAGCCAACCCTGCTATGAAAAACATCTTCAAGGAAGTTCTGTGGACTGAGAACCAACAAGAACACATAACAACTACAGAATGACGTACATGGCATCATCACCCTGAACTCTATCGACAAATGAAGAGTCAAGAACAGAATAAAGTTATAAGAACAGAGGATCTGGGAGGTCAGTCTATGATCAAAACAATTACAATGTGAAAAAAGGTAAACACAGAGGAACAGAGATCCAGGTGGTGGGAAGGTCAGGTAGATTACAGGATAAAATAGACTGTCTTAAATGGAGGGTAGAACTAATGGAATATAAGGTAACCACAATGGGGTTGGCGTAGGGGGTTTAGTTTGGGTGTTGGGGAGGGCAATACAAGAAGGGGAGAGGGCGCGGAAGAACAAGACAGATAGGGGAACACTGAGACAGGTTTGCATGGCCTAGTGGGACAGAGGTAAATAGTGATGTATCTGCAACCTTGGAACAACAGGGCTCTGGGATACAGGGATCTAGGTATAGCTTGAAGAGGGTAAATAATACTAAAATCCTTGACTGCCTTATGAATATTAGTTTCCCTTGCCTACTATTGTAAAATAGACACTTGAGTGGGATAGAAAGAAATGTTGGGAAACATGATTAGAGAAAACTTGTAAGCCCATCTTTAGCCTGTAACTGATTAGAATACCTAAAAGGGGTTCTACAACTTGCCCAGTGAAATAGGCCTCGTGCAAAGCCTTTACAGAATATAGGTGGTATCCTGAGCCCCATCCAGAACCTTATGAGGTGGGACAAGCCCACTAGAAAGTACAAGCTGATTGGAACAGCTACAGTGACAGAAGATACATCTTCAAAGAAAGATCATCAGGAAAACCCCAAAACAAAAATGTCAGCATGACTGGCTACTGCAAGAATAAGTAAGCTGTTCGCCAGGAAGACATCAAGGCTAGCAATCAAGTTCCTTCAGGACAAACTCCCCTCTAAGACTGAAACTCAAAGGGAATATACAAACAAGCATGTAAGCTCACTGGTGACCACATTGGTCTACTGGTGAGTGGAAGAGGTATAAAGGCATCAATGAAGAAATGGGCTGAGTTCAACCCCAGTCCATTGGCTCCCGTTGACCTGGAGATGAGAGAGAGAAGAGGAAGGGCTGGTTGGTCCAAAGTGTGGTAAGATCTGAGGACGCTTGAGCCCATGGACAACGATTTAGCCAGAGAGCTAGAGCTGAGAGTGAAGCATCCAGCTGATATGAAGTGAGGGGAGATGCACAAGAACACCCTAACTTGCAAACAGTACCCTTTTGACCTAGCCTCGATGGCTTGATAATCAGAACTCGACTAAAGGAAGATGGGGAGAAAAAAAATTTTTTTTTTTTTTTTTTGGTAACGGAAACAAGGGTAAATTGTTTCAATTTGATGAACCTGACCTATACTCAGAGCGGTAGTTACTCTAAATACCAACAGAGAGGGAAAGAGTCTTCAAATCAAGTATCAATGCTATCCCCTCTGTAAACAGGGTAGATAGGGACAGGCAACTTAGACATTGACTACCTAAAATGAGGGGGCAATAAAGGCACGAAGTGACTGGCTTACAAGGTTTCAAGAGGGAGTTTAGTTTAAGAGTATGGAGGGAAAGAAAAAGAGTCCCCACTGAATAACTGTCATCTTGTCTAGATGGGTCTGTTGAAAAGAGATGGGGATAAGATTCGTAAGATTCAATAGTGAATAATTGTTATCATGACTAATCGCGACTGTCACAATTTTAAAGGTAGAAGTTTTGTAACAAAAACAGGGGAGTGATTAATCTTACAGTCCAGAAACAGAGGACCCTAGGACCATCAAGGGAGAAGCGCACAAGCAGAAAGCGGGACCTTATCCAGAGAAGCAGCGGCTGAGTAGTGCGCATGCGCAAAACAAAAGCCTACAGCACCTTATTTTCCCAGGCGGTTTCCCATTCAAGTAATAACCAATCCAGACCCTGCTTAGCTTCCAAGATCAGGGGCATTCAGGGAGGTATGGACGTAAAGAGTACATTTGACCTTTCCTCTCACTAAGAAGCATGCTTGGCCGGGGAGGGGCCTATGCACGGATAGGGACAGGGCCAGCAGGGAGAACCCCCCCAAAAAAAAGGTCCCACCCAGCCTGTCCACAGGAGAAATATGCAGCACTCTGCTCCTATAAAGAGTTGTTGTTGTTGTTGTTGTTGTTGTTAAGTGCTGTGGGATCAGTTAGGAGGCATAGAGACCCTGTAGAGGGCTGGTGGGTTTGAACTGAAGACCTTGTAGTAAGTAGTTCAGTGCTGATCCTACAGCCTTGAAAATCCTATGGGGGAGTTTCGCTCTGGACTAGAGGGGCACTATGAGTCGAAATCAACTCTCTAGCAGTCGGTTTGGTTTGGTTTAGGTAAATAACAATAAAAATAATTTAACATCAAATGCTGGGGTTCTTTGTGCAATTTATTTTCTTTCTCTTTCATTTCAAAAGGGATCTGTATCTTAAATGGTCCCTGGGTGGTACAAATGGCTATTAACCAAAAGGCTGGGGGTTCAAGTGTACCCAAGATGTCTTGAAAGAAAGGCCTGGCGAGCTCCTTCCCCAAAGTTAGCCATTGAAACACTATGGAGCAAGATCTACGTTGACAACACATATGTCACCAGGAGTCCGAATCCACTCAAAGGCATCTGGTCTGGTTTTCAGTGCCTTCAATGAGCTTCAGAAATTCTTTTGCATCACTCATACATTTGGTTATTCAACCACAAATGTTTATGGCGATCCTTTGTGTGCCAAGCCTCTGCCTAGTTCTCCATTCTAGGCCAGGTTTCCCTGCTAGCAACCCCTTCCCATAATCCTCCTCGTACCTTAGAGATGTCCACCATGGAGTTCACTTGTTCCCGGAGCTTCCGGTGTTTCAGCCGCACCTGGCGGAATCTGTGGGGTGAATGACAGTGGGTCAGTTCTCCTACTAGCCTAGTCCCTGAGTGAGCTTAGGGGTGGGATTACGGAAGGAGAGACCCACAAGGAAACAGCAACAAGGGTAGGAGGCAGTGGCCACACGCCTGGACCCATTCCTGGTAGAGACTAAGGCAGCCAAGCAGCCAGGCACCCAAACAGGGAACACAGACCCACAGACACGCTGTGACATGCAGACATATGCCAGCAAAGACACACAGGTCCGAAACACAAGTTCATGAGGGCAGCTAATAAGAATTATCCAGTTCAGCTGCTCGTAGATTCGTGACTCTCAGAAACTGTATGAAATAATAAACGTGTGTTGTTTTGAGCTATCAAATTTGGAAATAATACGTTTCATAAAAATAGAGCGAATACAATTTTTTAAAAATTACTCAGATGCAAGAGGATATATACTCAGACCTGCTGTGGATGTACAGACTAGAACAAGTATACACGCACACACAGTGAAGAGGAAGGGATATGTACACACAAGGGGGGGCACGTATGCGCGCGCACACACAGAGGCCCTCACGTGCTGATGGCGGCCAGCAGCCTGCGCTGATGCCTCCGCGCAGCACCGGAGTCCTTCCTTCGTGTGTGTTTGCGGAACATCCAGGCCTCCTGCAGCACTCGGGCAGCCGACTCCTTCATCTGGGGGCACGTGGTACAACATCAATGGAGATAATGCTAGGCGAGGGCTGGGGACCTGGGCTCCTGGGTCTGAGAGAAGAGGGGATGGGGACTGGACTCCCAGGTCTGAGGGAGGAGGGGCTGGGGGCTGGACTCAGGGGTCTGGATTGACGAGTGTTCTGGGGCTCTGCAGGCAGGCCCTCACCTCTTTGGAGTACTGGATGTCCAACATGAAGTTGTGCACGTGTTTCTCTGCTTTGTTAAACTCCAGCTTCCGGGCCACCACGGCCACCAGCAAGGCTGTGCAGCAGACGCCCTGCAGGGACAGATGATGCTCTGGGCTCTGGTGGCCAGTCATTCAAACTCTCTCTCCTGGAACTTTCCCAATAGGCTGCCCCCCATTGGCACACAAGCGGACTGGGGCTCAGAGAGGCCACTAAGGCCCCACAGCCTGGAAGTGGTGGGGCTGGGATCAGAAACCACATATGTCCAAGTACAAGTGTAGTGTGTCCTGTTCACACAATTGGAATTCCACTCTTGCTAAGGGTTTGTGTGGAGGAAGAGAGAAGCCTTGGGCCTGAGTCAGTGTGGGCCTCTGGTCTCTGTGGTACCCCTTACTCTCTCATTCAGTCAGTCAGCAGGCCCAGCCCCCTCAGATCCTCACCTCCCTCCCAGCCTCCCAGCCTCTGCCCCAGCTCTGTGCTCTCCCTCCTGGGCCATCTCTAGCTTCCTGCTGTATGCCAGTTATGACTCTGACACCCCTTCAAATTTCCACTACCCAAACTGAGCCCAGCATTCAAGGCTTTCCAAGGTGTAGGCCTCCTGCCCTCTCTAGCCTCCTCACCTGGGTTGTGCCCAGCCTCACCTGCCAGATGACTCCCAGCCAGGCCACATTCTCCTACCCCTGCCTGAGCACACTGCTCAGAACACCCACCCTCCTTCCTGCCTGCCCCCAAGGCTTTTGATCCTTTAAAAAAAAAAAAATCTTGCCATCAAATGGACTCCAACTCATTTGCTACATAGTAAAGCAGAGCTAAAGAGCCCTGGTGATATAGTGGTTAAAGCGCTTGGTCACTAAGTAAGAGGAGGGATGGGGTTCAAGCCCACCAGCAACTCTGAGGGAGAAAGATATAGCCATCTGTTTTTGTAAAGATTTACAGTCTCAGAAATTTTCTAGAAGGAGCTCAAGGGCATTGAGTTTGTTTTCGTTTTGGTCTTATGTGCCAGGTACCACTATATGTGGTTTAACTTATTTGATCTTAGCAGCCCCATGAGGAATACACTAGTACAGTTATCCCCATTTCACAGATGAGGAAACTGAGGCACAGAGGGGTTATGTGGCTTGCCTGAGGTCCTCCAGCTAGGAAGCAGCAGAACCAGGATTTGAACCCCGGGCACCCTGGCCCTTTAGGCATGCTCTTGACACTAGTCTATGGTCTTATGGGGGCTGGGAGCTGGATTCCCTAGGAGTCCTGGTATGGTGCTGTGGGGTTAATGCGCTGGACTGCAAAGTCAGTTTGAACCACAAGATCGGTGGTTCAAGCTCACCAGCTGCTCCTCTGAAACCCTACACAGGTTCGCTATGGGTCAGAACCGACTTGATGGCACTTAACAATAACAACAGAGGAACCTAGGATTCCCAGGTGGTAGCAATAGTTAATTCGCTCAGCTGCTAATGGAAAATTTTGTGGTTCAAGTTCATCCAGAGGTGCCTTGGAAAAAAGGCCTGGTAATCAACCTCAGAAAAGCAGCCAGGGACATCCCTCTGGAACACAATTCTACTCTGACACACAGGGGGTCACTGTGAATTAGCACTGACTCCACAGCAACTGGTTGGTTGTTGGCTGGAGGGGTGTAGCAGAGAAACTAGGTGCTTAAGTTTTGGAGTTTGTCATACTGTGGTGGCTTGTGAGTTGCTGTGATTCTGAAAGTTATGCCAGGGGTATTTTAAATACCAGCAGGGTCACTCATGGTGGACAGGTTTCAGATGAGTCTCCAGACTAGGAAGAAGGAGTGACAAACTACTTCCGAATATTTAGTCACTGAAAACCTTATGAATAGCAGAGAAACACTGTCAGACATAGTGCCGGAAAATGAGCCTCTCAGGTTGGAAGGCTCTCAAAATGTGACTGGGGAAGAGCTGCCTCCTCAAAGTAGAGTTGACCGTGATGACATGAATGGAGTAAAGCCCATGGGAGAAAAGCCTGCAAGACCTTCATTTACTGATGGGGCACAACTCAAAATGAAGAGAAAAAAACTGTAATCATCCATTAATAATAGAAACATGGAATGTACAAAGTCTGAATCTAGGAAAATGAGAAATTGTCAAATATCATGTTTGGTAAGGTGGAGGGTCAGAGAAAAAGAGGAAGACCCCCAGCGAGATGGATTGGCAAAGTGGCAGCATCAATGGGCTTAAGTGTGGTAACAATGTGAGGTTGGCCCAGGATTGGGCAGTGTTGCATTCTGCTATGAGGCGGTAGCGGTTTCGGTCTCTATGAGTCGATACTGACTCGATGGCACCTAACAACAAGAAGAAGAAAGTTCAAGAGGGGAACCTTTTTTCTGCCAAGGACCATTTGGATATTTATAACACCATTCACGGGCCATAGAAAATCATCAACTTAAAAATTAGCATGCTATAATGTGATGGCTGGAACTGCATGCAGTTGCCTTGTCCAGGCCAGACCAAATGATTTCAAGGGCCGTCCTTGTGTGGTGCTGTGGGCTAATGCGTTGGATTGCAAAGTCAGTTTCAACCACAAGGTCGGCAGTTCAAGTTCACCAGCCACTGCTCAAAAACCCTGTACAGGGTCGCTATGGGCTGGAACCAACTCAAAAGCACCTCACAAGAAATACAGCCTGTCGGCTGGATGTTCCCCACTCCTGCTTTAGAGGATGGGATCCAGGGTACCTGGGATCCATGGGGCTTGGGGACTGGATTGCTGGATTCAGGAAGGAAGTGGGGCTGGGAAGTCAGTAGCCTGAGTCTCAGAGGAGGATGAGGGCTGGGCCCTAGGTTCTAGGGGGAACAAGGACACGAGGACTGGATTTCTGAGCCTGGAAAGGAAATAGCACTGATGTCTTGGTCCTGGAAAGGTAATGGGCAGTGGGGGTGAGGTTCCTGGACATCTGAGTTTCTTAGGGGTGTCCCTAGGAGCCTGAGCTGGTTCCAACATCCCCTGGGGCCTGGGATATGAGCAGTTTGGGCTAGGTGTAGGGTCCCCAAGAGGGCTGTACTCACCATGATCCCAGTGCAAAGGCAGACAATCTTGCCCCACATGGTGCCTGGCACCACGTCCCCATAACCGATGGTCAGAAATGTGATGGGGATCAGCCACAAAGTGTCCAAAAGGTGGCTGGTGGCATTAACGGCCTGTCTATGGGGAAAGATGTGTCAGTTCTGAAATGGTTTCCAGATGCTTGCTACCCTTCCCCCATTGCCCCAAGAAGCACCCAAACAAAAGAAAAAGTTCTGAGCTTTGAGCCCCTTCTTCTCTTTGCTGTTCAACCTGGGCAAAATGCTCAACCTTTCTGGGCTATGGGATTTGAACCTGGGTCTGGCCAGTTCCAAAACCTATCTAAGGCTCCCACATTCTGAGTAAGCGGTTGAGGGGATGAGAAGGAACAGAAATCTAGTATCAGATTAATTTATCAGACCCTGGCAGGGGCTGCGTCCTCCTAGAGGAAGAGGTGCCTTTATCTAATTTCCACAAAGATGCAGTGTGGCCCAGAGGTAGTTCTAACAGAACTAAAAAGGTGGGACTCTCAGAAGGTTTGATAGGGCTCCGCTCTTCTTTCTCCTCCCTTCCTAGAAACCCAAAGCCAAACCCAATCCACTGCCCCAGAGTCCATTTCTAATCATGGCAACCCCATGAGCTGCAGAGCAGTGCTCTGTAGAATTTTCTGGATTGTAATCTTCGTGGATACAGCTAGGCAAGCCTTTCTTCGGAAGGACCCTGTGGGTATAAATCTGTATGGGACTAGGAAGCCTCATCTTTCTCCCAGTGAGCTGCTGGTGGATTTGAAATGCTGATCTTGAGGGTTAGCAGTCTGATGCTACAGATCACCAGGACATTTTTACAATGGTGTTGCTGGTTGAGTTTTTCAACAGCCAACTTTCAGGTTAGTTGTTGTTGTTAAGTGCCGTCGAGTCG